TTTATAGAAATGGGTTGATTTAAGATATAAGAACAGTTTGCAAGAAGCCTGCCACAGCCATACAGTTTGTAAGCAATATAAGTCTCTGTGTTTACTTGGTTGGGTCTGAGCGGCTGTGGGACTGGTGGGTGAGAGAGATTTGTCCTGACTGTGGGCCAGGCAGGAAAACTCTAGCTACAGCCCCCTGTCATTTACTCTTTACCAATCTCCTCTCCATCTTTCTCCTTCTAGTTTAAAGAGATTCCCAGACCAATCTTGCAACTTCATCTCATCCGCACAAGGATGTGAGATATCTGTAAAGAGCTCATCTCTGCTTGCATTGGCCAGCAGAGATCACAAGAAACAACGAAGTCAGGTGAGAATGACCAGGCAGGGGCTAAGCAAAGAGCCACTGGCCAGGAAGAGTCAAATACTTGGAAAAAAAAACATACTGGATACATCCTTAGTGACTCAAAGGTCCATGTCTTGAGTCTAGGACACAGGGAAGCTGATGTTAAATGTGAGACATGGGAGAAATGGAGATGCTTAGGCAGAGATTGGAGAAGACTGGAGAAGTCATTTTACCTTAGGTGCATTATTGATCATCTAATATAGTCCTAACATGACACTGAGTGCTTAACATTCTAGAGCGGTCCTATGGAGACTAGGGAAAGGTGCATTTCTCTCCTCTCTGAGTTTTGGTTGGTCCTCTTATATTCCTTTCAAGTGAACATCGACCACAAAACTTGCTTTGGCTAATAGGTATGGGCTTTACAGATGCATCACTTGTGGGTAGAAACTTCAGGAGTCATCTCTAGATTCTCTTAACTTCTAAGCTGCCGTGGCAATAGGGGCAGTAAGCACTGAGACTAGCATTTCCTTCCATCAATCAGGAAGACTCAGAAGAGGAGGATCCCTATCAGCCTGTGCAGATGAGGAGTTTGATGACAACATTTGCTTGACACATAATAGGTTTATTTGTTCCTGAAATATAGAGAATATCTCATTTAATCACCATTGAAAAACCATGACTTTAAAAATATGACTGCATATCCTACATTAAGCCTTTTACATATATTTGGCTTATTTACTGAAAATGAATCAAAATCCAAATTCAGGTCTATCCAACTAGGACCTTTACTTACAACTACTTTAGCAATGCCTGGTGGAGTACACAAGGAAGAAAGCAAGGCTTCTCCCCATCCATATAACCTGGAATCTTGGTGCTTAGAGCAGTGGTTCTCAGCCTTCCTAATACTGAGAGTCTTTAATACAGTCCCCCATGCTGTGGTGACCCCCAACCATACAATTATTTTGTTGCTACTTCGTAACTACAATTCTATGAATCATAATGTAAATCTCTGATATATAGGATATCTGATATGAGACCCAAAAACTTTTTAAGACAGCTGGCATCAAACTGAAGAGCAGAGCAGACTCATCTCACCCTCTTTCCAATAGAAAAATATAGAAGAAAGCTCAAGAACACCAAATGTCATACTGTCCTCTGAGAAGACCAAGACCTTCAAAGGGTGGCTCCGGCCCAGGTTGCTTTGCTAAACCCCAATCCTCTATAGTATCCCTCAAGGAAATACTTGAATCCTACAAGAAACAAGACTGTCGTTGGTTTACAAGCCCACTGTTCTCTCAAACAATGAGAATTGTTTCCAGAACAAAACAGGATGCAAAAGACTCTAAACCAGTGGTTTTCAACCTGTGGATCATGGCTCCTTTGGGTCTCATATCAGATATCCTATATATCAGAGATTTACATTACGATTCATAGAATTACAGTTACGAAGTAGCAACAAAATAATTGTATGGTTGGGGGTCACCACAGCATGGGGAACTGTATTAAAGACTCGCAGCATTAGGAAGGCTGAGAACCACTGCTCTAAGCAACAAGAGCCTCACTCACAATGAGTAAAACAATATTCTGCATGCAACCAAAAAATTTCATTTTCCTCAAATGTACAAGCTGAGTTTGAAGTTCAGAGTTCAGGGCACACAACATGACCTTCTTGCACATTCTAATCGTGGTTAAGGAATGGGAAAATTCCCTACATAACTCTATCTTTCAGGTGGTTAAGTCAGTTTTTTGAGACAGTGCCTTGTTGTGTAGCGCAGACTGGCTTTGGATTACCGATTCTGTTGCTTCAGCATCCTGAAGGCTAGTATCACAGACACCTGGCACTATGTCAGGCCATGTATTTATTTTCCTTTTGTGGCCCCATTTGACCCAGGATCCATCACGCAGCCCAGGCTGTCCCTGCCTCAGCATCCCCGGTGTTGGGATTATAGGCATGCACCATAATGGACATTTATGTACTTACAAATCTTCATTTTAAGTATCAACTAACTAACTAATGATAGGAATCAAGTTTAGGATCAATTGAATGTATTCCAATCCAACTCATGTCACTTTCTTTTTGCATAACCTGAGATCCCTCTGATGTCTTTCAGCCAAAGTAAGAGATAAATTACTCTCACTTTTAGCAAAGTGGGTAGAAATATATTATTTAGCTGTCACTTTACACGGTGTTATTGACTTTCAGATTAAGCTGTGCCTCTAAAGCCTGGCTAGAATCCACACACTGCCACGTTTCATCTGGGGGAATTCCGTTACTTGTGATGACTAAATGTATGTGTCATTTGTAGTCATAATTTATTTATTCCCTTAATATTTAGATTGATTTTCAAAGCACCAAAACAACCGAATAGGCTGTTTTCAGGCATATGATCTCCCTCATAATTATTTCTTCCTTTATTTCCACATAATAAAAATGGTGGTCATCCTTTTGATTAGACAGAGCAGAGGAGTAGTTTTTAAGTTACCCTCGACTTTCTATGACATTCCCACCTTGCTCCCTGTAACATGTAAACTAGAAGGTGCATACAGCTTCTGCATGTTGTTTATAATGAACTTAATATGATATTTTCATGCTTTATGTAGCACCTATATGCCAGGTTACATTTGTTATATGTTTTTAAAATCTCACATGCTGAACTATAAATTTACAGCAATCTACCTAAACATCCTAGCACACAAAACAGGACATATAAACACTGAGTGCTTGAATTTGAATAAAATTTGTATCTGTATATGACTTTAACTTTTCACAACATGTTCATAAACACTAACTCATTAAGATGTCAATATTTCAATGGAGCCAGAGAGTAAACCAAAAATCATTTGAAATAAAATCTCCATTTCTAATTCAAGGTAAACATAGAAGAAGATAGAACATACATCTCATTAAACATCAAATGAAGCACATGATTTTTTTTTAACTGAGTGAAATTCTCTTTAGGGCTTCTGAGTGAGGGAATGTGCAGATGTTCACATACTTGTGAGCATAACCAGACCTCCCTTCACTCCGTCTCTCATCCTCAGGAGAGCCGAGCATCCCACACTTCAAGCAGAAAGGGGAAGCTGCTGTGGCCCACTAGGTAGGCCTAATACTTTGCATGCAAATCAAAAAGTGGGAGAGCATTTCTGTACAATGCACCCAGCAGCATCTGTGACTTGGGATGACATACTCCCGGAAGGTTGCACTATTGATTTTCAGTAAAAGTATACAAGAAATGGGCCAGCCTAAAGCAACCACTGCAAATGAACACAGTTATGATGAACACAGTTGCATCACCACTCTGAGGCCTGAGGCTGGAGCCAGTATTCTTATGAGCATCCAGAGCTGAATTACACGAGATACTGTTTCTATGTGTCCTCTATAAACTCCAGACATCACTGATCCCTTCAAGCATCATTCTGGAGTGAGCATTTTAAAACAGGCATCGCTGTTACCTTTCAAACAACCAACTTGCACGGCAGTCCTTGGAATCCCTTCAGCAACCTCCCCTGTCTCAAGCATCCAAGACATCCATCCTTTTGGTTCTCCCCACACCAAACAGAGCCTGTTACTCAACTCATCCAGGAGCTTTAAATAAGGGCTTTAGAATTAGTCATTCGTGTGACTTAATCAGGTCCTCAAAAAGGCACGGGCTGTCCTTTCGGCTTCTAACAGAAATACCCACTTCCACGATTCTTTCCAGGGACACTGTTGGTGAGGCAAAGCTCGGGAAGAGCTTTGGGGGCCGAATGGGATTTCAGGTGGGTACAGCGCTGGGGGACACGAGTTTCCAGAGTTTCCTGTCTCATCTTTTTGATATGGTGACCCAAATACGAGGAACCCTCCACATCCCATTAACGGACTCTGTTTGGATTCTGCAGCTCTGCTAAGGGCAATGACAGTCCTCTTCCTGCTGCTGACACACTCCTAGTTTCATTTCAACGTTTGGTTAAGGAGGTACTGACGGGTCAGAGTTTTAAGTGTGGATTCTCAAAAGGTCCCTGTGGAAGGACCTCTCTTCTTTCTAGAATAGCCAGACTTAGGGACTCCACACCCGAGCTGAAGACACAAGTCCTCACCCAGGAGAGAAAGGCGAGGGGAAATCCACATCGCTGGGTCCCGTGCTGCCTAGGAGTGGCAGACAGCAGGGGACCTTTGGTCTGTCCATTCTCAGCACAGAACCTCCCTCCACTTGGGCTCAGATGGGAAGGCTCCCTAAAACCTCCTGCTAGCCTCTCAGCACACACTGCCCAAAGCTCTGGATCGCCGGCGGCGACAACTTTATTGCTGTGTTTTTGTAGTTTCTGGACTGAGTGAGCCGTCTCCAAAGAACCGGGTAAACATCCCACTGAAACCCTCCTCGTGCAAAGAAAGCCCAGTCTCTTGCAATCAACCACCCTCCTCACAGCTACCCCCAAGAACACAGAGCACATGAACTCTGCAGTGAAGAGCTAATCAGGAGGTCCCCTGGATGCCAGAACTGGGGTACCTTAAAGCGAACCTTTCTTTTCTCCATGCAATTGACTCATTACGCAAAAAAAACGTGCAGGGTTGACAGAGGGTACAGGCAACCTGGGGCTGGCCGCGCGCTGGGGTCCCCCACTAGAGTCCCTACACTCCTAGAGCTCTGTGCTCCGACCACCTAGCCCCCCAGGAACGAGTGGTCCTTACATGTTCTAGCTTATCTTTTCTCCGGAGCCAGACGCTGGCGCTGTAGTCCTGCTGCTTGACACTGCTGTAGAAGTTCGCGCCCACTCGGGTCAGGCTGGGCGAGGGCTCCTTGGGGCGGCTTTTCAACCTCATCTGCTCGAAGCCCTCGTGGGGGGAGGCCGAGAGCCACTCGTGCTGCCGGATCTCCATCCTGACATGACCAGGCGGCAGCCCGGCGCGCAACCCACTCGGGATGGGAGCAGGGTGCCGCCGGCGAGCGCGAGGCCAGGCGGGCGGTGAGATGGAGCTGAAGGAGAGAGCGGGGAGCACGGGGGTGCAGATCGCCCCGGGAAAGCACCGGTGCTGATCGCCCGAGGGGTGCGCAGCGTGCTGGCTAGAGGCGCAGGAGCGGGGACACGGGGAGAGGGACAGAGGAGGGAGGGTTTCGCGGGGCAGGGGATGGGAGAAGAGATGGGGGAGGGGGCGGATGGGGGGGACCGGACAAAGGGAGACCGGGAAGGAGTGGATGCCAGCTCCCGAGTGGCAGAAGTGAGGGTGCAGCGGAGGTGGCCAAGACGTCGCCTGCCGCTGCGGTCCCGGGCGGGAGCTCCGCTCGCGGCTGCTCCGCACCAACTGGAACCCGGGCCACGGGGCGGGCGGACGGCGGGGGTGGGGTGCGGTGGGAGGGGCCCGGCGGCCAAGCGGGAGCCCGCAGGTTGATGCAGTGAGGAGCCGCCCGAGGCGAGCGCTGGGTCCGGCCGCCGCCCTCTGCGCGCGCCTCTCCCCGGCCCGCCTGCCTCGCCCTTGCCCTCGCCCTGCGCGGGTTCTCGCCGGCAAACCACTGAGCGACTGGGGAAGTGAGCGCCGTCCGCGCGCGATTGCGGGCAAGGCTCCCGAGAACGACACTTGGGAAGCCACCACGTCCGCCCCGCACCGCTCTAGTTCGTTCTGATTCTACTATCTACCTTCACTCAGAAAGTTCACCAACTTCCCACCTTAGGAACCCAGACATCTCACCCCAGGGGACTTGGCCCAGAGTGCCCCTAGAAAATGGTTTGGAGGACGTGTCTTTTTGCGAACCTTGCACTGTACTTCATCTGGGAGATGTTGCAAAGTATGCCTCGCCACCAGCGAGGGCAGTCCTCTCCCGTCCAGCTTGTTGGACCTTCCACTCCTCAGCGTTCAGGCTCCTGGAAGCTGTCTATCTGGCCCTGCAACCCAGGAAGAGGCGACCCAGAACCAACCTACACCGTGTGCTTAGATTCCGTTCTTTAGGTGTGTGTCGCTGGCTCATGCGCTGTTCTCTCTGCTGTTTCTAGGCTCACAAGGGCTTTACCCCCAAACCCAGTCCAAAGCAAACAAGCCTGAGAATCAGGGTGGCTAGTTAATAATTGAATCTTAAATTCTTTGTCTTTCGCTCTCCCTTAGTCAAAGGCTGAAAACATTTTTGGTTTCTTGTTTTAATCAGAAAACGGAACCTTAACTACTGTTAAGGATTTGCGAGGTCCATTTAAAAGCCTGGAAAGTCAAGATGAACTTGGGAAGCACCCTGGGGTGTTGAAAAGGCTGCAGAGGGTAAACTTTTCTAGCCCCTGGCAGCGCCCACACACACTCCAACCCAACATTCTTGCTCAGGCCATGGCTTCACAGAAAGACAGTCCAAGTTGCAATCAGTCAAATTTGTGAAGACAGGGGTCTCATATCTATTCAGAGCCCCCATTTTATAAGATTGGCTGGGAGTAGGGTGTATCAGGAGGTAGAGTCCAGACTTTGCATGACTGGACCCTGGCTCACACTGCCTCTCCAAATGCTATGCAAAAATAATGGTTAAAATAGAATCCCGTGGGTAGTCCATGTGAGGAAGAAGCAACAGAATGTAAATATACAGTTTTCAGTCCTGGCGTCTGAACTACTGGGCAGAGTGACCAAGGTTATCGCTAAACCTTGCAGATAATCCTGCAAGATAAATGTTCTGAAGCCCATTTTTCCAATGAGGTATCTGAGGCTGAAGGAGAAACCACACTTTCAAACACAAGCACTTGAGCCAGGCTTAAAAAACTGTGGAGGCTAAGTTTGTAGCTCATTGGTCAACTGTTTACCAGCAAGACAAGGTCTTGGCTCTAACCCCTACACTAATAGATTGAGAATGGTCTACACCCCATTGTATAGTAGCTTCCATTTTATACTATAATTATCTATCACATTATTCATCATCTCTCAGTTTTTACTATTACAATTTTTAAGTATAACTACAGAGCTTAAATGGATACAATAGATGCAAGCTGATTGCCTTTCAGCAAAGGAAGCAACTGTCTATTACTCTCTGGGATGATGCTGAAAATAGTACGGAATTCCCACACCTTAACACGTGGTAGATAGCCACTTCAGAGTAATAATGAAGTGTCTCACTACAGAAGAATTTAAACAAACGGCTTCCTGATCAAACCAGATTTTTGAGTTGAGTCAATTTTTTTTTAAATTATGCTTTTATAAGGGAAAATTCTATGGAAGCTTCCATTCTCTCCAGCTTTTCAAGACTGCAAAGGCAGTGTGTATTTCTTGCTACATATATGTGACACAATCGAGCATTGTTATCAACTCACAGATAACGTCTGCTGTGTTAAAAAAAAAAAAAAAAAAAACTCAGGCAAAGCATGAATTCCTAGAGCTTCATGCTGATCCTCATTGGCGTAGCATACCAGGCGTAAAATGGACTCAGTGAGTCCAGTGAGTCTTTGAACTTTCACTCTCAGCCTTTGGCTTCTGTTTTTGACTCTTCTTCAAGTTTATTGTTTGTGACATTAGTGTGGAACATTCCGGTTGATGTTCAAAAGAACATTATATCAAATTGAATTTGATGGAAGGAAGAAAAACATTTCTGAAGATGATCAGTTATATAGATTGAAGCACCAGACAGAATATTAGGATAGGATTAACCTTATGGAACACGCTAAGTACTCCTAGAACACTTATTTCTGAGCATTTCCACAGACCTTTGGACTGCGGAATGCAGTGTAAGTATTATATGTAGTTTATCCTACCAACCCATTGGCTTCTTGCAAGCTGGAGCCATGCATGATCTTTTACTCTGCTGATAGTGCCTCTCTGATAATAATCATACAATAAACCATGGAGAATAGATTAATGAATGTCAACACCCCATAAACCATTTTTCACTTCTTTTTCTTTGAGAGAATGTAAAATTACAATACTCAGAGTTTAGGGCCCACTAGATGGCTCAGTATGTAAGGGTACTTACCACCAGCTTGATAACTAGAGTTCGGTCCTTGAACTGCACTTGGTAAAGGGAGACAGCTAACTCTTGCAAGTTTTCTTCTGCCTCCACAGGCCCACCATGGAACCCCACCCTCCTACACAAGCAAAATAAATACATAAAATATTCAGATTTTAGAACCATCTCCTTTAATTTCTTATTCAATTAATTTTTTAATTAATTTAGTTATAGCATTCATAGTTTGTATTTGGTTTCCATTAGCTTCAAGTTCATAACAACAGATGGGGATGTATTAGTCAACTTTCTGTTGCTGTAAGAAATACCTGAGGTAGTCAACATTTGGAGAGAGGAAAGGCTTGCTTGGGTTCAGGGTTGGAGGGTTCAGTCTATGATTGACTGCCATCATTGTTGGGGCCTGCTGTGAGGCAGCCCATCATAGCAGATGGCAAGCTGTTTGCCTCCCAGTAGGGAAGCAAAGCGAGAAAGATGTAGCAGCTGAGGTCCCCACATCTCCTTTAATGGCACCCCCTAAAGACCAGAAACTTTCCACAGGCCTCCATTTCTTAAAGGTTCCACGACTTCTAATATTGCCAGAGGCTGAGGCCCAAGCCTCTAAGCAACACGGGCCTTCGAGGAACTCCCATTGAAAACCACACTAGACGACTAACTGTTGCTCACTCCAGTGATTGCCGTGGGAATAGAATGAGAAAATACTGAATGAACTACAGAGCTCTCTCTTGTTGTTCTTAGCACCTTTAGACACAAGAATGTTCTCTGCATTATTGTCATGATAGTTATCTTTCCTTCAACAGTCATACCACTTGAGTAATCAATCGCAACTGTTTAATGCAGAAACTGCATTCAGCCACAAACTCACAGCTCACTGATATTTGTATTTATTCTATGAGTACTTTATCTTAGTTGCTACCTGTGCTTCTATACTTTAAAATCGCATGGAATAGCAAATAAAACACCTTTCTATTGATTTCAAACCTGAACTTGAAAGGTGTCCTTGACTATGACATGCTAATAATTATGTGAATTTAGCTATTCTTCACGGACATGAAACCTAAGACCCAAGGTGTTGAGAAGTAACCGAGTATCTTGGGAAAGCCCTCACTACTTTGGTGATACCTGATATCTCCATACTGTTTATATCTGTGGCATGTGCTTACTCCATTTATCATATCCCTTCAGGGGCAGGGGGATAAATGACCTTGAAAGTGCTGTTGCTATTTGCTATCAGCTCCATTTCTTTGCCTTGGGGTAGGAAATTAAAGTTCGGGAACATTAAAGAACCTGTTCAAATCCATTGTCTAATAAGTCACAACGTGAGATATAAAAGGCAAACCCACTGACTCTAAATGAGGATCCTTTCCCCCTTCACTTCAGATGAAAAATCCTCACATGTGTGTGCATGTGGAGCCCAAAAGTTGACACTGGGTTTCTTTCTCAATTGCTCTCCACCAGGGTCTCTTCACTGAGCCCAGAGCTCACCAGTTTGGTTAGACTACCTGGCCCGTGAGCTCATGGGATCCACCTGTCTCTGCTGTTCTCCTAGAGCTGGGGATACCTATGCGAACCTCCCACAGCCAGCTTTCTATATGGGTGCTGGGCACCCGAACTCAGGTCATCGTGGCTGTGTGGCAAGTCCTTTATGCACTGAGTGACCTTCTCAACGACAATATATTGTGTTTTTCTTACATGGGTATTTTCATCAAGTATTACTGGGTTTTGTCAGAGGCTTACCACTAATGAATAAAAAATTTCAATAATTAGATCTTCCCTGATAAATCATAATTATTTTTACACTATGCAAGTCTGTGCTGAAACACTGGCCCGAGAAGGACTCTCTTTTTTGTTATCAAAGAACATATGTAACAGCTAAAATGGCATTGCTTCTCAAAATAGATGTTAATTATAAGCTTATTTCAGTAGAAAATTTAAATGAAGCACTCTTATTTGAATAAAATTAAAATATCCCCAGATTCAAAATGTTTTCTGAATGGATATGCAAGTAGTCATACTCACTGAGAATTATGTTTTATTTTGCATTATTGTCTTTACTTAAAAAAGTTGCTATTGATTAGGTAGAAAATAAATTTCTAAAAGATATTAAATTGCTAATAAAATAGGTAAGTGTCTACTTACAACTTATTTTAGACTAACAGTTCCTTGGGAGTCTGTGTTAGGCACTGGCTGGTCTTTGAAGGCATCCTATCATTTAATTCTCACAAAAACTCTGCAAGGTAAACAGAACCATCCTGGTGTGGAAGAATCTGTTTTCTGATGTTAGAACAGTACAGACTATATAATT